CCCATTTTTGATAGGCTTTCATTTGGTATAAAATTCAATGTTGATATCATTCGTCGTTGGAGCTGTAACCCCCGAGCAAAACATTTTTGGCAACCCTGTATAAAGAACAGACAAACATTCTTCTTTATATATAGAAGATTGATAGATCGAAGATATACAGACGCCTCCTTTTATATCCCACATTCAGACCTAGCGCGGAAAAAGGTTAGGTAGTAGTAGGATGTGGATTTTCTTACAGTTGTAGAAAACTCCAACATTTTTCAATAATTGGTCAAAATTGCGGTATATCATGACCTGGGTGAAATTTCACTCAACTACCCCCACCAGTCGCGCTGGCCCCCTCTTGACCTTCCTCTGGATCTAAGGATATGTCATGGAAAGTTTGGCGCCGCCAGCTCTTATAGGGACCAAATGCAATAAGAACAAACAGACAAACAAACAAACAAACAAACTTTCTTCTTTATATATATATGCAAAATTGCAGTGTATGATAACCTAGGTGAAATTTCACCCACCCACCCACGGGGAGCGGGGGGGTGGTGACCCGTCTTGACCTTCCTCTGGACGAAAGGGTATTCCGTGCAAAATTTTATTTCATTTCGTCGTACCGTGCCTAAGTGAATAGCGAACAGACAGACAGACATTCCTCTTTATATATATAGATTTGTGATGTATTTGTTTAATGTAGATTTGTCAAATGAAAACTTTTTTACGAATTTTAAAACTAGACACCTTGTAGGAGACATGTCTACATGCAGGACCCGCGAAAGTGGGGTGTGTAAAGGGGGGGGGGGTGCCCCCTCCAATAATTGAAAATTATTTATTATTAGCCACCAAAATGGATAGTATTTTTTTGAATCTGTAAAGTATCTCCGTAAGATATTTTCACAAACATCTTTCAGAGGTGTCGTGAGTGAAAATGGAAGTCAGGGAATGATATTTCTATAATAATCGACGACTATCGTTGAGATATCGACGAAAAGCATGAAGTTCTATGGCAAATTGCAGAAATTAGCTGGTTTTTTTACTCAAAACTCTGGCTTAAACGATGATTTTTGCTAGAAAATTTTTAAATATTAAAACTTGTCGCTGCACATAGAAGTAACCGTATGGGCCGCCTCGCCTTGAAAATAACTATGATCTTTCTGTTTCATGGAATACTTTACTACTTCCTGTCTCCTGAGCAACTTTTTTTGTGAGCAGTTGTCACTAGCGCGGCCATCTTCAACGGGAAAATTGCTGAGATTTAGTGCAACACCTTTTGCTTTCGCGAACAATAACGAAAAGAAGTTTTTCAGGAGTCTGACATGAGAAAAGTTTTTGGTTCGCGAAAAATAACAGCTGCGTGACCTCAGTTAACTTAGAAAACCTTCTAACTTTAGTCCAATTTTCCTTCGAAATAGCCTACTTGAGAACAATCATCGCCAGCGTGACCGCCTTCAGCAGTAGACGTATGACGAATTTTGTAAGAGGGTTGCAAAAAATTTTCGCTCTGCGAAAAATTGTTGCAGTTCAGGTTGCACGAGAAAAATTATCATTAGGTCTGACACGAAAAGATTTTCTTTTTCCCAATTTGCCTATCTCAGGACTCTTACATCCCCCATCGCAATCCTGGGACTTTCGCGCGGGCTCTGCCTACATGTTTAGCTTGAAAAGTATAGTTTTTTTGAAAACAATTATTTTGACAGAGCGTTTAATGCATATATAAAAGAAATTCCTTTTTAAATCTTTCAAAGGTAAAGAGTTCTTGAAACCAAAATATTGCATCAATCCTAATATTGGATATCTATATCAATCGTCGTGACGTATTAAAGAAAGAATGACCTTTAGATGTGAACAGCACTATAATAAACAAATTCTCGAATAAATCATACTAATCAAAACAAAATAAAAACAGGAAAAAAAATTGATATTCATTGATTGAATAATAAAATAACATGAATTTAAGATTTAATTAGATTTTTTTTAATTAAAAAATAAAATTATTTTTTCAGGAAGTTGTGAGACATCAATCAATCTGAATAAAGCACGTGCAAAAGTATTTGCTCATCTTATTTCAATGCCTATTCAACTTAAATATCTTCTAGTTGAAAATATTGAATGGATTTTTCATATTGTTCAATATGTAAGTATCTATTATATGTTTGATCTTACTTTGATAATGTGGGGTCATAACTGGATGAAGAGAAGTTAATCATCCGCATCCACACAACCTCAAGAAAGAGCGAAGATTTTATTAATTGCTATAGTCTACAATTATAGCACATGTGTATAATCTATTAATTAAAAAGTACCCGCATTCCTTTGTTTTCAGCAGGAGAATCTTTTTTCAAAACTACCGGCAATTTTTTTTGCACACTACGGTATGTTGACGACCGAACCATGCTTTCGATCCAGTTTCTCTTTGAAACTGATTCATTTTCCTTGAACTATTGAGTAGATTGTATAGCTTGATGAAATATCAACTAGTTCTCATTGTAATACTAAGAGACAGTTTTCGATGTAAGAGAATATAGCTAGGTCCCTTTTGCATAATTTATTTAGTCTACCGAAAGATTCATAATTATTCATTATTCGTAACAGAAAATTTTCAGAAAGCAAGACAGAATGAAAGAAAAATTTCGGGAGAGAGAAATTCTCGAGTTTGTCCTTCCTGATCGTGGATGTCAGTGCATATCTTCTGCTCACATTCACGCCGTAATAATTAGAAAACGACTATAATACTTAAGCGAAGATTTTTATATAAATGAAAAAGTCAAACAATTATTCAATTTTTGCTCTTTATGTTAATTATTCATTGGATCTCTAGTTTATTAAATCAATTAATTTAAAAATATTTCTAATTTTGTAAAATATATTCATATAATTTTTCTTTTATTTTGTAGGCATTAAATGATCTAAAAGAAAAAGCACTGAGTACTGTTCAATGTGCTGAATTTGGTATTCCCAGTTGTAATTATGGTTCCAATGAATCGATTCATATTGGTAAAAATCTTGTATCTTTTCTCAGTACTTATATGCCTCATTTACAAATATTACGTCTTTGGCGACCAGATGATTTTCCTTGGACATCTAGTAAGTTTATTTTAAACGAAAATCTAATTTCAATAAATTAACAGAAAAAAAAGAAGTTGTTGATTGTTAGATGATCCATCTTCTTTCTCTTCCTTTTCCCTTTCTTTGTGTGTTTTTCGTCTTTATGATTTTGTAGATCCAAACATATGTCAAATCGAGTTCTTTTTATTTTTATCTTGATAACTTCTTTTCTTATAGTCTCGAATTATCAATTTTAAGAAGATTATCTTAAAATATGCCTAAATACCTTTTAAACTGTCATTATTCGATTCATTTACTCAACAAATGATACATTTTTAAATTTTACTTCGATCAGTCAGGTCTATGAGATAATTCATTTAAAACATAAATCAAATATCTAATTCTAATCTTTGGTTTGATATCAATATAGTTTTATCACTTAGTCTTACACATCCCTATCTGTATAAGACAAAGTCGAAATAAAAAATTAGATTTACATCAAATTGACAAGCAAATGCCATTTGAATACGATTTTCATACAAAAAGATAGTACATTTTAATTTGTTCTCTTTACGTTAAAACTCTCGACGAAGATTCATTGATTGGTTCCTTTATTCTATTCTATAAATTTTTTCTTTCATTTGATACCCCATAAGCGATTTTCTCTTATCGTTCATTAGCACCTAGAAGATGCTATTTTCTATATATTTTCGCCTCGTCTCTTATGGGGATCCTCTCGATTCGTCCCTGATTAGAAAAATTCGTCTCTAATTTCAAAGAAACATCACACACACGGCAACTGCGGGTGAGGGCAATTAGGGACGAATCGAGAGTAAACCCTCTTATGCTTTCCGATAATAGTTCTTTTATTGTAAATCAGTAGCGCATCCAAAGATGGAACGAAGATACAATCACACACCTCCCTCGCCTTTCTGGCTGAACTCACATTTTCTTGCTAGTGATTTTTCTTGAAAACGTTACATTTTGCTCTTATCTACATTCTCTTTTCTCTCTCTACCTTTTCAAAAATTTCTAAATTCGTACTTAGTGATGTACCGAGACTGAAAGGGTTGGGCTTGGTACATTCCTAACCGCACTGTTATAAATAAATATTGGAAGCTGTTGTCATGTGTAATGTTGTATTTATTAATACGAGAATTATATCTTATATTAATCTGAAAAAGGGATTAAACATTCCTATGTTATTAAACAGAATTCAAAGTAAAGTAAAGTTAAAATACTACCCAGAATTTAAAGTAAAGAATATAATTATGTTTTGTTAAATAAAATAAAATAAAATAATTTCTAATTGAAGAAATTACCCATAATATAAAATCATATTATTATTCTTTCTATTTTTAGTTCGACCCAATATTATACCAGGATACTTTCATTATATTGATGTTTCACAATGGGTAGAATCTTTATCAACATCTGAATCGATTGGTATGGAAATAAAAATAGTAGACTGAATAGAAAAAAAAAATTTTCTTTATTTTATTTTTAGCTCAACATGTAAATGTTTTTGAAAAAGATCTTTGTCAATTAATTGAAACATTAAAACAACTTGTTTTTCTTGATATTCATGGAAAAATTGATCGTGAAAAAGTTCAAGTATATTGTTCTATGATTAAAAAATGTTTTTCTCATAGCCAAGTGAATGTTAAATCATCAAGATTTCGCCTTTGGATATAATTTCTTCTATATTTATATAATCATTGTTTATTAAAGATTATATATTTTGTTTTCATTTATCTTTGTTAAATAAAATCTTCTAATATATGTATTAATTTAGTTTTGATTACATATCAATCCAGAACAACATTTATTTCATTAATAGATTTTTACAATTTTATTTTAATTTCTGAAAAATAAAATAACTTACATGATAGAAGATATTGATTAAAATTTCATGAACAGATCTGATTTGAATGAGTCTTTTTCTTTTGAGAATATTTTTTTTTCAATACTATACACACAGTTAGTCACAACTCATTTGTATGCTTCGTCTACAAATAACGTGTCTTTGATCTCCACAAAATTGTTTTCGAATATCTAATAGATTTATTTTAAATAAAAAAAAAACTTAATCACAATGTATTTAAAAAAATTTTATGATATGTGTCTTTTATCGTTTTGCATTGCCGGATTTATAAACATCAACTGGAAATTTTGTGTATAAGTTATTATGTTTTTACTGTATAAAAGAAACTTCAAATATAAGAAATGAACGTTTCTTATAGAACAAATTCTAAATAGTGTTTATTAAAGGAGGTAAATAATGGATAAACAAAAACAGTCGAATCCAATCATTTTATTTTTCGTTCTAATTCAATTGATACACTTCAAATATACTTATCCATTCTGTCTTTACTATTATTAAACAAATATTATCTCGTACAAACAAGAAAAAGAACAGATAATTATTAGAATGAGTCTTGAAAAAGCATCATCATCATCATCATCATCTCATCAATATAAAACAGCATCAAACACAAATACAGCTCGTACTACAGATATACAAATCGATACTCAAGCGACGTATGATGGTAAGATTTTTCTGAAAAATAAAATTTTTTTAATAATAATTGTACATTTATTTTACAGTTTTTTAAGAGTTCTGAGGTATTTGTTAATGAGGGACCAGATATAAGCAACACAACAATTTCAACTAATGCCTTATCGACGTGTTTATTTTTCTTAATCAATTTTTATCTTGAAGATCATCCTTATTGTTTTTCGACACATCATGAAAAACTTTGTAATTCAAAAATGTCAGCACCACATCTTCTTATGCATTTATTGAATGATATTGTGTATCATATCAAAAAAATTCTACGTAAAAAATTTCGTGTACAAAAACCATTCAATTTTACTAATATTAAAAATATCAATTTACTTGTTGGAGGAGGTACACCTACAGAACATAATAATATTAGACAAGCATTTGGTTTACTAATCAATCGAAATCAATCAACATCAGATATACTATTAAACTTATTAAGAGAAAATCAAGATTGTCAATATTTAGTTAATAACTTATTTGATAATACAACAATATTCAATCCAACTAGTTATTTTCAAAGTGTTCAAGAATTAGATAAACAACGAAGTTAGGTTTATTTTTTTTAAATATAAAAACATAACTTCTTTTAATTAGAAAATCCAAAAAATAAAATCAATTGTATAGCACCACCTGATCTATGGTTATTAAATAATTGTCAAAAAAAAAGAATGTTATTTAGGTATTCGATGGGATGGAAATGATTATCATATCGATTTAGCTTTAATGAAAATCGATACATCAAAATTACACGATGTAAATCAATATAAATGGCAATATCAAACAAATCAAATTCAAATATTAAAAAATAATTTATCTAATGAACCTGGTATATTAGCAAAATTACACAAAACATTATCATGTATTAACCCAAATGCATTATATATTTTACCATCAGTATCAGAATTAATTCAGTATGTTATCATTGAAATTTTTAGTAGGATAGATAATTAAATAAAATCCTATACCATAGTCTATTCGAGAATAAAATATTGGATAAAAGCATGACTTAAAAAAAATTTATATTTTATCTAAAATTATTAAAATATCTATTCAAAATAGATGATTTAATTTTTATAAAACTAATTAGTATACATTCATACAAAATTCCTTTTTTTTGATTTAGTTATTATTGGCAACGTGCTCCATATAATGACGATATTGATGATGATGATACAAATGATTAATTCAATATACTCTTAAAGTAATTCATTGTTGTTTTTTAAATCATTTAAAATTTTCCAACAAAAGAATTGTATGTATGATTTGTAATTAAATTTCAGGTTATGTTTATGTATTAATTAAATAATTAAACATTTTACTATTTTATTTAATATTTAATATTTATAATATCATGCATTAGTCCGTAGAAAACAAACATTCAATGATAAAAATGGACAAATATGAGCTCATCACCATGTATCAATAATATTAGATAAAGATTTTGAAGATTTATCGTCAATAAAATTTCATATTAAAGATTGGTATGATTATCAAGATCGATCATGTTTTCATACATATACAAGACATACAAATGCTGTACAAAACAATGCAATATTTTCTTGTTTCTGCTCATCTATTTCTTACTTGTTTAGTGGATTTTAAAGCTGAAGTAAATCACATTAATACAAAAAAAAACAAAAGAAAATAATTATTTTTCATATTTTAAGTGATGAGAATTTTACAACAAACGTTGTTGTATGCGAAAATATGCTGAACCTAGTCAAGTTGTACATGATTTTAATTTTAATAATACAAGAATAGAATTTCATTCTGGTTCATATAATAAAAATGCTAAATTATGGAATACATAAACTGGTATGAATGACACTTTTTTTAAATTAAAATTTCAATTGATACTGTTATATATTGATTAAAATCAAGAGTAAATTTTCGACGCGAAAGATACCTTATTGTAAGCGAAGTTAAGGCCTCACCCCCCTCAAAAACCGATCTCATCTCAGGTACGTTCAAATGGGCTGAAATTTGGAGCATATGTTGGGACTGAAGTGAGGAGGCTATGGGAAAATTTTCAGTTCGATTTACTGACGTTTGACGGAGATATGAACCAAACAAGGGTCAAAAAATAGGTCATCTTAGCGCCAAAAAATCTCCATGGCCCTTCATTACATATACAATTTTTTTTTGTTTGAAAGCTTGTCTCTAGGGCTAGCCCACCTCGTGGCCCTTTTTTTTAAATTCGCCCTTTTAAGCGAAAAAAAACGGATGAAAAGTTCGATGACTCGAAAAACTCCTAAAAAATGGTGCTTTTTCCGGAGAGATGTGCTCTTATATAATAATAAAAGGCTTACTTAAGTATTTTGAAAAAAGGGCCACGAGGTAGGCTAGTCCTAGAGACAAGCTTTCAAACAAAAAAAAATATTTGGCTTCATATTGTACTGGGGGAGAGAAGCGTTGGCGCTACTCCGTCGAAACCATGTTCTGAGAAAAACGCGAAACAAGTTTTTGAAGAAGAAATTTTTCCAAAAAACATTGCTTAGTTTTGCAAATATCTCTGCACAGGCAAATGGTAGAATTTTGATTTTTTTTCATGAGATCCGCCGTGAAAAGCTCTCCAAAAAGCCGTATGAACACATTCGAATCGACTCGTCCTCATGGTTTCTTTCATACTCAAAATGAAAAACATATATGATATGTTAGGTCCTGTTATATTTGGACTAACGAAAATATTTGGAAGATGTTTTTATTTTGTATGTGTATAACCTTGGGGGAAACGCGAAAATCTTTATTATTTTTTCAGAAAGTGTGTTCTAGAAAGCTGCAAACATGTTTTATAAATAAATCTCTGTCAAATTGACAAATGCTGTTCAATGTGTTACGCAAGTTGGTATGGGTGGGTGTAGGTGTGTGGGTGTGCGTGTGGGGTGTGGGTGTGAGTGGGATGTGGGTGTGGGTATGGGTGGGTGGGTGTGGGTGTGGGCGTGGAGTGGGTGTGGGTGGTTGGGTGTGGGTGTGGGTGTGGGTGTGGATGTTAATCTTCTGTTCATTCATACCCACACCCCATTCACACCCACACCCATCCACACCCACACCCACACCCACGCCCACACCCAATATTTTTCGAAACGGCTTGCGTCAGAATTTTTAGAATAGTTCCCTCTATAACATATGTTAAATTGAGCAAGATCTGACGACATCGATTGCGCAGGTCTCTGCTTAATCGGTCGTGGCTTATATGAAATGGCTCATAAATGGTATTTGCAGAAAATTAACGATACAAGCAATTCGCTTGAAATTTTTTCTGATGATAGCATCATTAGCTATGAGTGTTGATACAAAGTTTCAGCTCGATCTGTTGAGCTG